ACCTCCTAAAATGAGTTCACTTTTTTGGTATTTTTTTGTATATTTATAGGTGAAGGTTTTCCTTTACTTTAAATAAATAACTGGAAAAAATTAATATCAATCCTCTTTATACGTACATCAGAAGTACGTTCGCGACCCGCGGAAATGTCCATATACAGAAATACAGAAATACGATTATCGAATACATTATGCGGACAGTGGATCAGTCAGAACTGATTCCTGAGAAACTGCGAAGATGTTGATTGAGCTGCTCAAAGTCTGGCCTGTAGTGGGGATCTGTTTTGGATCTAAGCCATACTTCAAAATCTTTCTCATTCTTCGATTCAGGGATTTGCTTTAGTTATAAAGTGAATAAAGAATGAGAGAACGATTATCTTAGTGTCAAAGGACAGCGGACAGAGCTTCCAATGGGAGCATGGCCAAAATGCAATGGAATTATGAGCCGGATTGGGCGTCAATGCCCCTGTCCTTGTGGGGACTTGAACGAAATCGAAATGCAAATTTATGGATATTATTTATTTATTAAATGTGGATGTGGCTGCAACCAGGGCAGAGCCAGGCCAGTGGACGTGGACACGGCCAAGCTGATTCAGTGTAAACAAGCAGATGTCAGTGTTGTCTGTTCTGTTGTTCTGTTGTTCGGAATTTCGGAATATTTGTTGAGTTGCTGTTAAATGGGGTTAGGCAAATGTTTAGCCGCCTCGCTCCGTTTGTTCGGCCGAAACTAATTTGCAAATTGCGGCCCAAAGGAGGGCGTCCTTGCGGTGGTGGTGCAGGGTGGCCCTCCTCCCTTGTATCTTAATTTCCTCTGAAAGGAAATGCCAATTGCCTGGGGGAACTATTTGGGGAACTTCCAGGTTGATCCTTTTAAGCGGTCTATGGAATTTTTAGCTAATTGCGAGCGAGGCACCTTCCTCCTTGGCCACGAATTTAATTTGCATTCGGTCGGTCTGGAGCCCCCTTCAAGGGCGCAGTAGGATGTCGAGCGGTCCTCGGCGCGCCCTGTTCAAAGAGAGAGCTCGTGAAAATCTGCAAATTTCCTCATTGATTTGCCAAACAGACAGCATTGTTATTTTAGTTGTTGCGTTGTTTTGCTGCGCCCCTCCCCCCTGGCGGCACCCCCTCCCAGAGTGGGGAAACTACGCAAAACATGTTGTAAATTGAATTTTATTCGTTGAGATTTTTGCGGCCCGCACAAATGTAATTGAAATAAATTCTCAATAGAATAGAATATCCGCCCCAGACACTCGCCCCCATGCACGGAGGAAATTATTTGTTTGCAACGCTCGGAAAACTCGGGGGGAAAATCGGATGGGGAGGCGACTCTGAGCAATGGGCAAATTTCCGTTGCGGCAGGTCAAAGTAGCGGCGGCAGAGAGTGATTTCGGATGAGATCTGGATAAATAAATAAGGAAAAGTGTTTGAAAATTACATGAAATATATGCCAGTCATAAAGCGGATTTTCCTGTGTGCCAGAGGAGTCCAAAAGGGGGCGGGGTGGGTCGCAAGCGGGGAGGGCGGGAGGGGGCTACAAATCGCTCAGTAGAATAAATGGCACGTTCATCATACGCCCCGTGCGCCGCACACACGATTTGGGAGACCTATTTATACACCTACATATGCCCCAGAGCATTTATCTACGAGAAAACATATGCATGTGGGATCGATTCAAGCATACTATATTCCATGTACACGATATATGTTTTGGGGTATGGAGGGGGCCCGAAACTCGTCTGTTTTCACGCAAAGACGTTTGCCTTTCAATTATATAAACATATTTCGATTGTATTCAGTCAACAGGGAGGGGGGGATCCGGGAGTGTGTGTGCATTAAAATTATAAATTGTTTGAACAGCCAAAGGCACCAAATAAATAAAACGAGAACGAGAAGGAGAACGAAAGCGAAGCGCATAAATATCTGACCAAATGTACTCGAAATGAGTCAAAATATTGGATGAATAATCACCCGAATAGGGTCAGGAAGGGGGTGGGGCAGCGGCTGGGGGCGTTCGCCTTGGGGACTGCAACAAGTGAATGGAAGCTAAGCGAGCGTCAAAGGTCGCGACAAATGACTGACATTGAATTGTCATCTCGTTGTGCGTCGCCCTCAGAGCAAATGGGCCCACAAATACGATTATAAAGCATCCCCTAACAGATCCAGTATTTCCAAGTTCAAATCTTCTTTCAAAATCATAACACCTACTCTCGGAAATGGTATACTCCTGCCATTCAACGGATATTTGTTTGTGCCAGATATTTGTTGTGGCAGTGAAATATTTGCTGGCTGACTTCAAGAGGCGCCATCGCTGACATCTGTCAGCGGCGTGGCAAGGGCACGCAATAGTGGATCCTGATTAGGACTGCGGCTATCCGCAGTTCTGTGGAAAGCGCGGGCCAATTTCAAATGAATTTATATCGCAACGGAATCATCATGGAAATAGTTGCGGTCTCATCCGATACGAGACCCAGCTAATCGATTGGAAAGGGCGCACTATCCCTACCTTCTCTCTTCCCCAAGCTGTATCCCCAATCTAATATATATGCGCAAACACATCCGCATTAGCCGCACTGCAAAGCAGCGCCGAAGCCCCCATGGATTTCCAATTAATCTCTGCTCAATATTATGATGTCTAATCAACAGAGTCCTGACCGGGACAGGACGTCACAGCGGAGGGACAATGGCTGTCCAGGAAATGCCATTATGTATGTGTGGGAGTGGGAGCATCTGTGTGCTGTAGCCTGGTTATGTGTAGCTTTACGGCTTGTTGCACAAATTAGCATGCCCCATTTGACCCGAGAGGCAGGAGCCGGAGTCGGAGTCGGAGTCAGAGTCGGGGCAAAGATTTGCCTAAATACATTGGGAAATGGGAAATGAAATCAGCAAACAGCAAAGAGCCAGCGGACAGCGGAACAACAGTTAAATCAACTGTGAAATTTATGACAGTTTTCCTCGACGTGGGGAAGAGGTAAAAGGGAGAGCCAGAGCCGACCACGGGCTGGGCTCCGACCTTATTTAACTAATTTTGCATCTGCTATTTGAACTCTGGCTCCTAGGCACGTACCCTTGCGGCCGGAACTTTGACCTGTTAAGCGCATAAAAATGACAAAAATGCTACGTGACTCATTAGCAAAAGTTGCAAAGAAAAAAAGGATGGAAAATGGTGGCGGGGGAAGCGAGAGGCAGAAGTTCAGCAGTTCATGAGCCTCGCGTTGCAAAGTCAGAACGGATCCTGACAGGCGGCAACGCAATTAGTTCCATAAGCTGCTCCGCCCGGGGCCAGAAAGAGGCACATAACCCGACGACACATGTGGACACTCCCACGCACATGCATGCACTGGGAGAAAAGATGATCCCCACTTTTTGATCTAACGATGAAGAGCTATCATATATGTACAAGCAAACCGATCGAAAGATTAAGCCACGCACTGTGGCAGGTAGAGCTCTGTGCAGTGGTCTTTCTGGTTTTCCACTGCTTTTCCCCGCCCTTTCGTTCAGTGTAATGACAATCCTCACATCCTTATCCACAGGACTCTCTGGCTTACAGCGAAGCTCATGCGTTTTCATTCCCATTTCCATTTCGGGCACATAAAAGCCAGCGGCGGCGGCGGTGGCGGCACAAAAAAGAAAGGCCGAACCGACCCCAAAAGCCAATTGCAATGCAAATTTAATTTGGCTGCCATAAAACTCGGGTAAATTCGGTGGCAGAGGAGGAGGAGGGGGGAGTACGGGGGAGACTGTGGCAGACAGTCGTAAAACAGAGAAACAGCGGAGAGGCAGAGAAATCGAAGATTCCCGGGGGTGGACGTGGGAGGGGCAGAAAGAGAGGGGCAAAGGGGCGTGTTGCATGCGTGGCTGCCGCGCCAAGCCGGAAATGCAATTTGTAATTTTGTGCAACGATTTGTGGCAATTAATTGCTGCACAAGCGGCGCACTCAGTACGGGCTTGCCCTCCCTGCCCCCCGTCCCACACGGCCGGCACTAGACACCCCGCCGTACTCCTTGAGTACGCGCCAGACCGCAAGACACAAAAACCCCAATATTTATTCTGTTTTTCTGTTTTTTTGTTGCATTTTTATTTTTTATGTTTGCTTTATGTTCGTTTTTTAGTCTTCTTTACTTTTTTGTGCATTTGTTGGCGGCACAGAATTTATTGCATTTAATTTTTGTTACCATTTCTTCGTCTCGGATTTTGTTCTCTGGGTTTCTGTTGACCCGGAGAGGAGGAGGATGGATTCTTGGCATCGGATGTTGCATGGCATCGCGTATTTAAGTGATTTCTGCTCAACAATAATATAATTTTCATTTTTTTATTCGGACGCGGGACCGTTTTTTGATCCACGGGCTCTCAAGAAAAATTCGAAAATCTTTTGTGATAATTTGCGCCGAAATCAAACAGCTGCAAAATTTGTTTTCCTTCTGTTTTCCTGCTTTTCTTCTTCGACTCGATTCGACGTGGCGTCGCCTATAGAAAGTGTGGCCGAACCATGGCGATATATAGCTACATATATCGCGAATATATAGCCATAGATCTCGACCAAATTCGTGTGTGTGCATATAATGAAGGGGGAGATTTATAATATTTGTGGGACCGTATAAACAATTTGCTAAGACGCACATAGAAAAATGGCATTTTGAATAAATAATATAACCAGAGTTCGCCATGTTTTGGCCACTTTCACGAGCGCTCAAAGATCACAAAGGCGAAGGCGGCCAGCAGTGGGGAAGGGCGGGGGAGGAAATTGATGAGGAGATCCCTACATCTGAAATATGATTTATTGGGTTTCATAAGCTGAACGCTTGAAGGAAAGCCAAAAACTATGGAAGAATCTTTTCAGTTATGCATCGATTTCTATGGGTTTCTCGAGTGAGTAAATGGACTGTAACCCTTGTACATATATTGTGCATATACATATATATTAAATACCATAATCCATTATACACTTAAGAGTGAATAAGTTATTGCCATTTAGAGATCTATAAGCCTGGGATGGGAGCACTCACCTCAGTGATTTTCATGGTTCTCTTGACCGTCTTGCGGGTGACTTCAGTTGTCTCCTCGACAACGTCTCCGTCCTCGTCGATGGTCTCGGTGATCATTTTCTCGGTCTCCCCAGGAATGACCTCCTCGGTCCGTTCGGTGACGACGCTGCTCTTGCTTTCGGCATCGGCGTTGGCGTTGGCTTCCGCAGCCGCATCCACATCCGCGTCCGGCTTGGGCTTGGCCTCCTCGGCGGAGCCACCAAAGACATCCTCAATGTCCGACATGATTAGACAGGATTTGTGGGGATTTTCTTGGCTTAGCCTGGGGTTTTGACTCGTTTTTCTTGCGCTTTCTTTGGAGCACTTTCACTTGGTTCGTTCTCCTCTCCGGATCGATCCACTGACACGCACTGGCACTCACTGGTACAACAATTACACACACAACAACAAGAGATATTTCTCGTTTTGTTTTTTCGTTTTCGTTGCCTGAAAAGAATCGGATCGGCCAGAAATGAATATACTTTTTCGGTATTTGACTTTTGGCTCTTGGCAGCCGCTGATTATTATATAAACAAGTGGGGGGCGCCGTTCCTCACTTCACGATCACTGCGCGATCACGTTTTCCTGGACGATAGATAGATATTCTCCTACGGGGTTATCGGTTAACGGTTAATGGTTAACGGTTTACGATGGGATCCTCTGGGATCCTCTGATCTTGGGGATGTAGTGCATTCGATGCTTCCTCTCGGGGCGGTGTTCACTGCATTTGTGAGAGCCACCGCGCGGATTCAGTGGCGACGAAAGGCGCCTCAACAACGAGAACAACGGAGAAAGTGAGACAGGGCGCGAGACAAAGAGAAAGAGAGCGAGAGATAACGGAACAATGGAACAACGGAACAAAGTCGGGTACGCACACGACAAAAGTGAATGAAAAGCGAAACAAACTGAAATTATAGTACAATCAAAAATGCATAATTTCAGTTTGTTTCGCAAATAACGATTACGATCCCGATTCCGATTCAGAGTCGGAATAATCGACGAACACAACGGCAAACACGGCACACGAGGCAAATTACACGATCGATCACGAGTCCGCTGCTGCTGCCTTTGCTTTGCTTCTGCTCTGCTTTTGCTTTGGATTCTGCCGCTGCTGCTGCTCCTAGTTTTTTCTCTGCCTATGTTTCTAAATCTGCTGCCAGAGGCCACCGGAACCGACGCCGGAGAGCAGCAGCACCACCAACAACAAGGTATCTTTGCACAAGGGTGGGGCAGAGTTGTCCTGAGACCACGAGGCGATGGTCGAGCCAGAGCGCTCTCTGGGATTTATTCACCCCACTAGGAGTATACCTTGGCCAGCAGCATATACATAGTCGCAGAGCAGAATGGAAAATTTGTGCAGGAGAGGACGTGGGGGATAGGCTAGAAATAGCCCAGCGGCCAGAGGAGATTTCTCTCACGCCCCACGTCTGCCGCTCTCTACTCTCACTGATGCCGCCGCCGCCTCTGGCTCTGGCTCTGCCGATGCTGCCTTTTGCTGACGTACGACTATTTCTCATTTTTGAATGTTGATCTTCGTCTCATTTTTGTTTTTAGTACGGCTGCTGCCTGTTGTTGTTGCTGTTGTTGCTGTTGTTGCTCGCCCTCGGCCAAAACAAAAGAGAATGAGAGGTCCCGCTAATTGTCCGCCTGTTGCAATTTTCCCGTTAGCCGGGCGCTTGCTGCTGCTTGGCTGCCCTGGCGACTGCAATTAGTGCGGCTGCCGCCTGACGTCTGAGGCTCGTCAAATTTGAAACCTCTGCTGGTGCATCCCTCCACCCCACCTCACCCCACCCCACCCCACCCCACGCGGAGTCAGTCCCATGTGCGTGGAGCTATTTTCGTGTTCTGTTCCCAGAGCATGCCGTTGAACAATAGGCAGGAAGAGAGAGATGAATGGATGGACTTTGGTGTACGCTCTCCTATCAATAAGAAAATTTAAAGATCATTCTACCCAATCGTAAATCTTATCAGTTGTGATTGTATTACTGACTTCTATGGAGTATGTGATATAGGGCTCTGTACAGAGAGATGTATTTCCCATATCAGTTTCATCCTGTAGCACTTCTCTCCCCCATTCCGTATACCCTCCGAATACCCTCTAAAAAATGATACTCGAAATTGGGCTTCTGCCTCCCTGCATCCATCGCCGTGCATTTGGCCTGCCCGTTGCCGGCGTTCGACAGCTGAGAGGCCAGTGCATCCACATCCATCCCATCCATACAGGGTGCCCCAAGGCGACTGACAGGGCATCTGTCAGTCGGCCATCGCCATCTCCATCTCAAGTACCGGACCGCCTGCGCCTTGTGTTCGACTTCCATTTGAATTTGAATTTGAAATTGATTTTGATTAGCAAATGCTTTCAATTGCCGCTGCTGCTCGGAGATACCATTTTGACAGCACCGTGCGGACTTCCTGTATCGCTGTTGGGGGACTGCAAGATATATGAAAGACAAGTGTTCCAATGCCCCACTCCTCCTTCTCCCTACCCCCTTCGCCTTCCCCACGGTACACTGTGTAAACAAAGCGGGAAATACACGCAAGACGAAATATTCTAAAATTAATTTTCGAAAATGTCTTTTCAGCTATCCATCCCCAAAACGCAGCGAGAAGGGAAATGCGACATGAAACGAGACAAATGGCTGTAGATATAGATACATACAACCAATGGATCTCTCTCTCTCCCCCCCCCCCCCCCCCACCGTCCACTGTCTGATGAGCAAATGCAATTACGGGATACGAAATGGGGCAAGAGCTCCCTACTACCATCTTTGGAGTGACACATCCCACAAAGCCAAAGGATAACACTCATCCCGGTGGGGGGATACTTGTAGTGGGATGTCTAGAGGGGTGCCCATGCCCCACCACAACATCCACTCTCGTGATCCTTTTGGCGTTGTGGAATCAACGCTCAAATATGATTAATAAGTAATTTCTTTGTCAACAACTGGCTGGGGACTGGCGGCTGACGACAGTCACGATAACGAGAGGAACGACAACGACGCCATGGAAATCTTTAATAAAAATACATGCATAAATAAATTATGGGGAAAGCTGGGGAGGGGGAAAAACAAGGGCTACGAGCCGAAAGGAAAGTAAAGGAAAGCGAACGGGTAATAAAACAAAGCGATGACAGCCCCGACATATACTCGCACGCTGTGCAGTCTCTGTTTGTGTTCCACCCCACAAAAGATTCACCCCGGAAGGGGAAGGGGTAAGCAAGGAGCCAGTGGGAAGGCGGGAGGGGGGTGTGCAGAGCGTGACCGCACTTCCTTTTGGTCTCCTCACATTTCCTTGGCCTTGGCTCCTGCCTGTTTATTTCACAGTTGTAAATTGCACAAAGTAAATGAAGTACTTTTTATTATAAGCCAACAAGGCAGCAGCCCCCTCCCACCCCCCACACTTCTCTGTCTCTCTTTGTGGCAAGTGTCGTTGACTCTGGATGACCTAGAGACGGTAGGGGGGAGAGCGGCAGAGCGGCATGTGTTACGCACAAAGATAATTCTGGGAAATGGAGAAAAGTTTCGCTTTAGTCTCAATTTTCTCCGAGACACAGAGCCACTTCTCGCATTGACAGAATGCAAAAACGGAAAACCGAAAACGATTTCTGTCGACTTCTCGAGAACCCCCCAGCCCTTAATTGAGTTCGGCGAGAGGTTGAGCAGGAGCGGCAGGGGGAGTGGGATTGGGAGTGGGAGGAAGGGACCATTGAAAAGTTCAGATTTCCTTCTGCCACACACATCCTGGGCCACTCGAGATTTGTTTGGCTTGCGATTTTCCCCTTTAACTGCAAGCCAGGAGAAATTCCGTGAAGAGGCAGACAGAGAGAGAGGAAGAGATGGCCAACAGAGATGAGATGGCTAAGAATGCAGCCCAGCCCAGCCCAGCCCAGCCCAGCCCAGCCCAGCCCAGCCCTGCCCTGCCCTGCAGCAATCCGAGCTGAAACGGAAACGGAAGCTCACACTGTGCGAGGTTTTCCATTGCATACTTTCAGGGGGAAGCAGCACTAGAAACCGCAGGAATGCGAGAGATTAGAGGGGGAACACCGTCTGGTATGCATAAATCTGCAGTTGCAAGGAATCTCCGAGAGAATGAGAAATTTTACCCACAATTCTTGAGCTATTTGAAGCCCTCGCTTTACGGAAAATGCTCGCTTATCAGTGCCACAGGGAATGTCGGGGAACGCTCCGCATCTCCAACGGAGGGAAAAACAAAGAGAGACAGAGTAGGGCAAAAGGAGAATGCAATTGCTTTTGGCCAGAAGGTTTATCAGCAGCTGCAGGCTTCGCTTCGTCTGCGGAACGAAATGGTTTGGCATTGTCCCAAGTCCAAATTCAAGTCGGGACACTCCGATGTCCACTCCCAGAGCCGGAGCCAGAGCAGAAGCATCGCTGCGGGCAGTGGACAGTAAACAGCCGATGCAGAAATGGAAATAAATAGTTGCTTTGCTCTTTTGTCTAATTAAAACGTTTCCTTTCGTGCCGTTTCCCAGCACCAGAACCAGAACCAGCCACAGCAACAGCGACAGCGCCATTTGTTGACGTCACACGCACAGCCAGCCCGACGGCCAGCGCGTGTGTGTGTGGGACAAGCCTCAAGCGCTCTGGCATATGTATACCCTGTAGTCCCAGAGCACGGAATTGTCCAACCAACATCTCCGAGCTGGACCCCATAGATACGTGGCGTAGATGGCATAAATATGTACCAAAAATCAGTTCCTCATCACACTAGAGCTACCTCAAAAATGGTTCCTCCAAATTAGTAGAGTTCGAATCGGAAGTAGGGGATATCTTCTGGTCGAAGCACCCAGCTCCATCACATTTTCTTGTTTTCTCTGTCTGTGTGCGTGACAGACAAACGCACGGGCGCACTTTCCCCACTTTCTCCCCACTCCCAGTCGCACTCGGACTACCACTCTGCAATCGTTAGCTGGTCAAACGGTTTCGTCTTCATTTGGCTCTGATTCTGGTTCTGGTTCTGGCTCTGACCAGACATACGTATGGCCGGAACTGCTTCGCCATTATGATGATTTATGAACGGAAATCATTTTTCGGCCTGGTCAAAGTGGGTACTGGGTGCTGGCAGTAGGCTTTTCCTGCGGCCTGGTGCCCGGTGCCGGTGCCCGTTGAGGTCTGGTTTTGCGGCCGAGCAAAAGTATGCAACAGTTTTCAATTTCGTTTCCGTTTGCTGCAAACTTTCCTTCACACTTCGATGGCTCTTTTAATTTGAAAACGAATGCTATGCGGCTCCTTTCGTTCGGTTCCGTTCGGTTCGGCAGAGTTCTATTCATTTTGGTTCAGCAGTGTTGCGGTGGTGGGGTTTGGTGTTCGTGGGTGGGGCTGATTTGGGGGAAAGTCTGCCTGACAGCTGTCCGCAGATTGATGGGCTGCTCTTATTTTTTTGGGCATTAATTTCCATCTAAC